GCTAGGGACGGTGGCGCACGTGTTCATGTGGACACATCCGCAGCTCTGTACATGCCGAGGTCACACAGCTCTCACCGACGCCAGCCCAGTACTGCTGGGCTCATTTGTCTCCCACTCCGGGATTGCACGTGCCAGGAAGTACACTGCTGCTGCGCTTCTTCCCCAGCCTTTTTGGTTTGGAGACAGGATCTTGCTCAGTTGTCTGGGCAACTGAACTCTGCCCTGGTTACCCTTCTTCGGACGTTTCCTCATTTGCCCCCCACCATGGAATCAGCCTTCCAGCCCAGAGGTTCTCTTGGTCCCCTGGGGCTGGCTTCCAGCCTTGCTGCTCCCTGAAGGGTGCTGAGAGGCTCCTGGGGTGAGGCCTCCCTTTCCTCCCTCCCTTCTCAGACCTGGACCTGTGCCTCTGGAATAAATGCTTGTATGTAAATCTCTCTGACAAAAATCTTTTCAAATGGTTTTCAAGGTTGTATTACTTGAGTAATTTTTTCTTCCTATTTAATTTTTTTTCTTTTTGGTGGTATTGGAGATTGAACCTGGACTGTGTTGAGCTTTGTCCTCAGCTCTTTGTTATTTTTGAGACAGGGTCTTGCTGAACTGACCAGGCTAGCTTCGAGTTTGGGATCAGCCACTGGTGTAGCTGGGTCTCGAGGCGTGTAGGGCCATGCCGGCTGTATTTAACGTTCGGAAACAGTGACTTAGTCTTTCCTGACAACGGCAGTGTGTGCCTGCCCCGTGCCAGGCTCTTCCCCCACATGCCAGTGCGGGGTACAGTGGGTGCAGGGTGGTCCATGATGGGAAGGTGTCTGCTGGCCTGGCAGCCTGAGCCTCACAGAGCGCTTCCTGGCCGGGGCCTATGCTCCCCTGAAGTGTGGGGTTCTCTCCCTGGCAGCCCCGTCTCGCCCAACCCCCACTTGCTGACTCTGTAGGCTGCAGCCCTTCACTCTGAGGCCAGTGCCCCAGCCATCTGGAGCCTCTCAGGACCTGGATGACCTTGCTCCTGTCCAGGCAGGTCTGTCACCTGATGGTTGGTTTCTCGAACTAGAATGGAAGCCTGGCCGGGAATGCAGTTCAGTGGCGCCACGCCTGCCTGGCAGGTGCAAGGTCCTGAGTTTGATCCCAGGTACCGGTAAAAGAAAAACAAAAAGAATGGAAGCCTGGTGGGTCTCGTTCCCATACCCTCTGTGATGCACTAACAAGTGTGTGCTGCAGCTGCCCAAGCCCATGGTGTGGCAAGGGCACGGTGGAGAGCCAGGGGGGCCTGGGACAGCAGGTGTCCGCCTCTGCCTGTGTGTTGGGCTCCCTGACCACTCCCGATGTGTCTGTGCCCTCGGGTGCACCTCCCCACCCACCAGCATGGTGGCCTGGACAATGGCACAAGAGGGTAATGGAGGAGACAGGAAGGCCTGTGGGTGGGAAAGCAGGGCCCTGTCATGGCTGCCTGGGCCAGACGGGGCTGTGCTGCCCCAGAAACACCAGCATCTGTGGGGAGGAGCCCTCAGAGTCTGCTGAGGATGGAAGCAGCTTCACAGGCTGACGGGAGGCCCTCCCTGCATCTCGAGGCCTCCAGCCCTGCCTGCCCCCTCCCGATACTGTCCTGTGACCAGGGCCTTCACCCTCCTGCATGCTCACCCAGGCACGGCCCTCTCACCATGTCCCACATGTGCCTTGCAGCTTGGGCAAAGTGCTGGCCCCTGGCCTGGGCTGGCACAGCCTGAGGCCCAGAGCATGTGGAGCTTCTCAGTGGGCACTGCCCATCCAGGTGGGTGCTCAGGGCTGGAGGAGCTCCTCGCCAATGGAGGGGAGACTTGTCTAGCAGTGCTCTGCCTCACCAGCCACCTTCCTGGGGATGACAGTGCGCTCAACTGTGAGGAATCCACATCTGGATGGAAGGAAGAGACTCCATTGTAATACTAAGTTTTTTTGCCATCTAAATGTGGGCCAACAAAACCATCTTCCAAGCCAGGGGTGGCAGTTAGTGTATGCTTGTAATCCCAGCATATGGGAAGCTGACACAGAAGATCATGAATTCGAGGCCAGCCTGGGCTCTATAGAGAGATGCTGTCTGAAAAAAACCAACCAACCAACCAGAAATCATCTCCAAGTCTGTTTCCTTTTTCTTTTGAAATTGTACGGGGATCAATCCCAGGGGTGTTCTACCACTGAGCTACACCCCCGCCCCTTTTCATTTTTTGACACAGGATTTCACTATAGTGTCCTAACTGGCCTGGAGCTTTCCATCCTCCTGCCCAGCCTCCGGAGCAGCTGGAATTATAGGTATGGGCCACTAAGCCTAGCTTTCTTTGTTTTTTAAAATATGCCTTTTAAGGAACTCTTTTACCAGTTTTCGTACATATGAGCACATATAGCTTCCTCATGGCGAAGAATGCCTGCTGTTGGAACCAGTAGGGTGAATGGGGTGCAGGAATCCTGATGACAAGGAATCTCCCCTAGGGGACTGGAGGGCCCGGGGAGGGGACTTAGGGTGGGCCCACATGTCTATGGTGGACAGCAAGCTGGTTTTCAGAATGGAACCTTGTACCCTGAATCGCAGCCCTGCTTTGGGGTCACCTGCTGGCCTCGGTGCCTCATCTGTGCCTGCTCAGACACTGAGTAGCTCCCTGGGGTGGGACTCCCAGTGTGTTGGTTTGGGGCCCATTCCAGCCTCCACTAAGAGGTGAGGAACAGCAGGTCACACACTGAAGGTCACCTCTATGACAGGAAGTGGACATGGACTTCCCCAGCTCAGAGGCCAGCAGGTAACTGGACTGTCCCTTGGCCTCAGCTTGAGTGTGGCCAGAGCTGTCCCCGATTTTGAGTACTATCCCATGCCTCTGCTGAATGTTGTCTCCTCTTGGGGGCACACTGCCACAGTGGCCTTTCTCCTGGTCCTTTCTGGCTCACCTCTTTCCCACGTTGCGGCCAGTGTGGAAGGGACAGTCGTGTCACTTTCTGGCCACAACCCAGGTGCCAACAGACAGATGCATAAGCAGTCTCCAGCCTTGGAGGCGGCAGAATAAGAGTCACACCAATTCCTGGCCTGCCATACTCCAGGGCTGAGTTCCCTATGCTGGCCCTGGCAGCGACTGGCCAGTGGGTGGCTCAGGGAGAGGTAGTGGCTGGTGAGCCCAGGGGACAGCTCCCCATATGAAGGGCCACGTCCCAAGCCCCTGCCCAGTGGAGCACAGGGTCCTGCACTGGGACAGCAGGCAGCTCCGCGAGGGGCTGCGCGGCTAGGACCACAGGGTCCCAGGTAGTCGGTGCTCCCTGCCATCATATTGGGCCGGGCCAGGCGCCATGTGCGTCCCGTGTCCCTAGGTCACACTGTGGTGTCCCTGGTGCTGCAATCTTGGCATGTGTAGGATCCTCTATCGCCCCGGGTGCCACTGTGCGTGGCGTCCTTGTGCGCGGAGCCCCGTGTATTGGGTGGCATCCCTGATGTATGAAAAACCTGGATGTGTTCTGGGACGACGCTGTCGTGCGGGGCCCCTGGGCCGTGTCTCGTGGGGTCCCCGTCGTGCGGGTACCGGGGGCAAATCTCGTGGAGTAGCCGTCGTGAGGGGGCCCGGGGCGTGTCACGTGGTGAACCCATCAAGCGGGGCCTAGGGTGCGTGCAGTGGCATCCACGCCGACCGGTTCCTGGCTGCCCCTCAGAGAGTCTGCGGTTGTGGCGGGCGAAATGTGGGTTTGGGGGCCCCGGAGCGGCGAAACAGGCGCCTTCCCAGCCGCGCAGGAAGCGGCCTCGGCCGGAAGGGGGGCCCCCTCCGAATGCCGCCGCCGCCGCAGTCTCCGCCAGCGGCCTACGGAGGGTAGGGCCGAGGGGCACCGAGCGGGGACGAAGGAGGCCGAGTGGGGCCGAGCTCGCAGCGGGCGGGCCCGAGCGGAGTTGAGCGGAGCCGAGGCGCGGGCAGGCGGGGCCGAATGTGACCGAGTCTTGGCCGGGCGGAGCCGAGCGCGGCCGATCAAGCCGGGCCTGGCAGGGGAGCGCGCGCGTTCCTGGAAGAGCCGGCCCCGAGCCGGTCACATTCTTGGCCTGCGCTCTGGCTGAGGCGGACGCACGGCAACAAACAGCGCGGGGGCGGGGCCGGCGCGGGGCGGGGCGCGCAGGG